CCTCAAGAGAAACTGGAATGGGTTCAGGAATCGGCAATACTCCAGTATGACGTGGTGAATGGCGTCGATGCTGACGACTCTGGCGACGTGAAACCCAATGGTGTGTTTCCAGATTGTCTTGTGTCTGTCTGTTCCTGTTAATTACTAGTGTCTATTTTTGTATTTTCTTTTGTCTGTCTGTCCCAATAAAATAGTGAGCAATTAGTGAAGAGAGGAAGATTGGAATGAACTGAAACTTTTGATAGGAATGCAAAACTGAAGGATGAAGATGGTATAATTAAAAAAAAAAAAAATTTTGCCCTTGCAGATGTGGTTGAAATGGCAAAGGTACTTGGTATGACATCCATTTATCTGGAAGATTTGATCAGCCCTCTGGACTTTGAGAAGGAGTCTGCCACATATGATGCGGCAGAAATTAAGGAGATTCTTGAGGTAAGTATTTTATCTTTCTGTTTGTGGAGACATGATTTATGCCATAGTCATTAGAATCTAAAGTAATTGTTAGTTGCATTGCTGTTTATTCCAGTGAAATTGGAGATCTGTTGGCACACTAACAATTATCATATTTACTTAATTTTTTTTATATTCATAGCTATAAATAAAATTTTAGAAAAAAAAAAATCATTTCTGTTTAGTATCCTTCTCTTTTCCCTTGCACTTCCTCACTGTATGTAAAAAAAGATGTATTATATATTGACTGATCTTAACAGGTTGCCAAGACGAACAGCCTGAACGTGGTGACTGACTTCATTCCACAAAAAGTCAGCTCCGACAACAAGTGGTTCAAGAATGAGAGCTACAAGGACTTCTTCATACCAAACTCTGGAGGGGAGTTCAACTTCAGCAACCCGGACCTGATTTCAGCTCTAACGGTAGGTTGAAAAACAAAAGGCCTGGCTGCATTTTAGGTTGTTGTCGTCATTGTCATCGTCATAGTCATTGGTGTCGTAATCATCATTTTCATTATCATTATTATCGTTAAAGTCATTGTCAATCCTTATTATAATTTTTATTGGTAATATGGTCCATTTTATTGTAATCATTGACTTTACAGTTATCAGTTTATCAATAATTTTTGTCATTATTATTGATATTATAATTATTAGTTTATAATCTTCATTAGAATTGCTATTATCATCATCCCTCATTCTATTATTACAACTAGCAGTGACATCGTTAATCATTTCTGCATCATTCCTATTATTACAGGAAGTCCTGCGAGATGTGTGGGTGAGCAAGGGCGTGAAAGCGTTCTTGATGGCCAATGCAGACACGCAGGAACTTCGAGATGCCAGGGACTCTATCAACGCTGCCCTTAAGGATGAGGTTGATGGGTATGTATGCAGCAAATATTCTTGTTTGGAAGTCCTTGGAGGAACTGTAAGAATACCTAACCATATGGATGTCTTGTTTTTTATTTGCTTATCTCTTGAAAGGTCAAAGATAATAATAATAATCCACTTGTTACTTGATTATTTTCTTGTAATTGTGTATTTGTTGAGAGTTGTATTAATTGAATATAATTTAAGAAATATTTTGTAAATATATGATTTAAGATATATTTTATAGATCATTCAGTTTTATAGATAGAACTGTCAGAAATGTAATTGAATCTCTTGTGTGAGAAAATTTGTTGTCATATTTATTTTATTTCCATAGGGCTGTTGTGAGCAATGTCACTGACATGAGGAATGAACTAGTGAGCGGCTTCAATGCAGAGATGTACAAGACATTCCTCGAGGAACATATTAGTGACTGGACGTACTATAAGGTAAGCTAAGGAATGAATAGGTAACCTTTATTTGAGCTGATGCAAATGCAGATATAATGCAACTGGATTTTTTCCCCCCCCATAAATATAATGTTAGATTTTGAAACTTTGGTCTTTCCTTTTTCAGTACAATCCCAAGGTGGCTGAAAGCAAGATCACTCCAGAAATGGTGCGTCTAGTTACAATGTCCCTTTTCTTGGCACCTGGAACCCCTATCTTGTCTGGAGTTGACAAGGATTATCTGACATCTCAGAAGGAAGAAATCAAACAGCTGTCAGACATAAGGATGAAGGAGTCTATCAAAATTGGAACCATGACATTTGTTAACACCACAAATGAAGATGTCGTGGCCTTTGCCAGGTGAGAAGCTTGAGATTTAGTGTTGATGTGTGAAGCATAACAATGTTACTAATGAGGGAGTATATTTTTTTGAGATTGAAGCCTAACAGTCTAACTGGAAAGGGGATATATCATTTTGAGTAAAGTTTATGGCTCGTGTAATTATTTAAAATATAGTGTAAGGGAGGTGGTTTGTCTTTGATAATTATTCATATTGGTAATCTCTTCCTGCGAACAGGATTCCGTAAGTTGTTCAAGTGTACAGGGTTATATATGCAGTGCCTATATATTTTAGCATGAATAGGTGTTGTGCTAGTAATGCTTGTAGAAAGCTTGGCGAGTCAAGTTTTGCTTTGGTATTGGACTTGGTAATTAAGAAGGATATGGTAATTACTTTTAATTGTACAGGAGGTTACAATTCATCAGCTGATGAGGTGTAACCCCCTGTATAATTAAAAGTAGAATAAAAAAAAAATTCCCATGCAAGAGATATATAATGCAGGGTGTGTGATTGCTTGTCCCAGTTACTTTGAATTTTTTTTTTCCCTGTATTACTCTTTCCTGTTTTTTATAACTTTTTTTTTCCTTGTTATTTAGATGAGTGAAATGAAATAGTAGTTGTGGATGCTGTAAACATTCAAAGCTAATAATGCATTAGATTTGAGGCAGTTTTAGGCCAATTGAAGTTTGAATTTTAGATATGGACTGTACAGTTAGTTTAAGAATGGTTTGTAGAAGTTAGCATGGCATGATAATTGATAATCACTGTTATCAAAATTGCATGATGGAAAGAGAAAAAGTGAAATGTATGGCTTAGACGTGTTTCAAGATGTAGGTATGGCATAGTAATATGAATCATTAGTTGAAACGAAAGGGTCAGTTTAGTTTCTTTAAAACTAGAAATAGTATAGAAAAAAGTAATAGATAATACACAAGGAAAAAACTATTTTTTTCAAAATATAAAAAGTGAAATGTATAGTCAGTTGTTCAAGTGAATCTCATATCTGATATAGAATGACAGTATATTCATGTGTATATGATTTTTTTCTTCAGAGTATTGAAGGGTACTCCAGGCTATGCTGTAGCGGTTAACATGAACAGCGTTAACAATGCTACAATCGATTTCACATCTATAAAAGGTGTGGATGAAAGCGGAGACGTTAGCTTAGAGGCTAACTATGGAATAGATCCTGAAGACAAGTGAGTTTCTTTGATTGTTGTGTTTGGTGCTATTTTCTTAATATTTTGTAGGAATTGCCTTGGTAATTTTTTTGCTTTTGGCAAAAGATGACTGTGTAAAAAAGTTGAGGTGAAATCCTCTAACAGCGAAATTGCTTTCTCTTTCAGGCCGTTGAGGGGGAAACAAGATTTATCCAGCGTTAACCTTGGCCCTTATGAAGGCATTGTGGTACAATTTGTGCCCAACCTCTAAGCGCCCAAGAACAAGTAATTGACAGCAAACAAGACAGCGATTCTTCTCCTTAAAGCTCGGGATCATCTTCCCCTGCTGGCAACTCTTAAAGGCCACACATTCCTGAATAATATGGAGAATTGCTGGTTACTGCTGTTTGATGAATACGCACAATAATTGCGAAAAAAATCCAATCTACTTAATATTTCACATAACTGAATGTGTACGTAAAAAAAAAAAAAAGAAATCAGAAAGGAAGGCCAATAGTTGCCACGAGATAAAATATTTCAAAAACAATATTTGTTTTTATAAGCCATTCCTACTGTTGAAAAAAGGAACTGAAATGTTTCTATCAGCCTTATGCCAATCCTGCTAATGTGAAAGGAAATTAGTAAAGCTTTTCCTCAATCCTGTTTATGAAAGACAGTTTCACTGAAGATACTTTTGTTTGAAAGAAAACCTAACATTATTTTGTCAGTCATACCTTAGAAAAATAATTGAACCACGGATATTTCATAAAGTAAACTCAATATTTCCATTGGAAAGGAATACCTGATTTTTCTGTTATATGTTGTCAAAACCGATTAACCCATTGCCGCCGGGGAAAATGAACAAAAAATGGGGGAAATGCAGTGCTCATTTTTTATATTTTTGTGAAATATCTCTGTCCATAGATGGCTCTTCTAGTCCTGATTTCACCTTTCCTTGAATTGGCGGGAAAACACGTCTTACTAGTGCTATAAATATAGATGGTGTTATTTTTAGCAGCAAATTAGGGTAACGTTAAATATTTTCGTAAATCGATGAAAAGGGTGAACGGGCGAGACAGATAATACTCGTAATTGGCTCATTGGATACTTAGTACAAGTGTAGCCATCTATGTGTTAAAACGATTGAACAAGTCGACTCACAGTGGGCATGGCATGTACGTATATGCCATCCTCGGTGGCAATGGGTAAATATGAAGGAAGTTCATTACCAGCAAGTAACCGTCAAAAGTGATGTAGCTCTATACGACCAACTGCAAAATATTCACACATGTATATAGGGTTGTAATGTGAGCAAAGGAGGGGGGTAAAATATTTCTCTGAAATGACGTAATATTTTGAAATCTGATGCGTTGTTGGTTAATGTTAGCCTATACCATTTCCCTTCATTGGTTAAAAAAACAGCAGAAAATACTATTTTACTTACTGAAAAGTGCTTGCTAAAGAGGGAAAAAGTATTGACACTGAGGAAACAAAGAACTAATTGAAGCTTTCGAGATTATGTAGCACATTATCAGTCATTTGTGTCTTTGTACTAACATTATGAAACCCTTACCCCAAACTTCTGGCGGTATGTGCTGTTTCCTTAATATGAGAAATGTTCAGTGTCACTTGTGCAGTTTCCTAAATATGAGAATTGTTCAATGTCACTCCTTTACCATTTAGAATGAGCTCAATGGCGAGAACAGAAGTTGATTTTCCAAACACCGGAAACGTCATTATATTTTATTACACGATAATACACTTTGCTTTTAGAATTATACATCTTCAAACATCATTATTCTTCTTCTATCAGGTTCAGTAATAAACCTTCCCCTGCAACAAGGATCAGTTCACTCAGCTTTACGACAGACCTGTAGACAGGAAGAAATTCTTATAAGAAAAGAGAAATTGCAAGCTTCATTTATGGTTACGAAAATTAAATGATGTAAACGATAATGATAGTCATGATAATGAGAGCGATGACGAAAGAAAATGACAAAAATGATGATAATGCCTTGCCCGATGTTGTCGTGGGGGGCCTTGGAGGCAAAGACTGGGACCCAATGCTCCCCTCCCTTGGACTCATGAGGTTGTGCCAGTCCTGAAAGGCCGGAGGGAGCCATGGGCACGGTATTCCCCTGTTTTAGTTGCCTATCCCTTCCCTCTCAAGGGGACCCTGAGGGATGGACCATTTATCTCCTCAACATACTCCAGGCTTACCATGGCCAGCAATAAAGATGTTATATCCGTATTAGGGGTAATGAGTTTCGCTCCTTCATCAAATAGCCCCACCAATTCAAACTCTCCCGATTCCCCGACCCCAGGCTCTCCTTTGACCTCGGCTCCGAACACTGCAACTACTACCCCCTCCTCAATGCCTACTAGTACAGTATCCACCCAAATCAACACTGTCTCCAGGAGCCATTCCTACTCTCCCAACATGCTCAACTCCCATCACCTCTTCCCCCACAACCTTCTTCATCAACTAACCCTCCTCCCTTATTACTACTTTGCAGCCTTATTGCCCGCCTCTCCCTCTTCCACACGCCCCCGTCCTTCTACTACCCCTATCTCTACAAATATCTTAAACACCCTACTTAGCCCAGCCAAATGGGACCGATTTTTCGTGATCCCTCCCACAGCTCCCTACTCTGACAACACCCTTCTCTTCCAGCAATGTCTCCAAAAACAAGTAGGCAAAGTCTCTTTCGTAGCAGACTCGATCGTTTAAACACCCTACTTAGCCCAGCCAAATGGGACCGATTTTTCGTGATCCCTCCCACAGCTCCCTACTCTGACAACACCCTTCTCTTCCAGCAATGTCTCCAAAAACAAGTAGGCAAAGTCTCTTTTCGTAGCAGACTCGATCGTTCCTGTCTCGTCACAGTAACATCTGAAAACCAAGCTATAGCATTAGCAAGTCTTAACTGACCTCTCTGGTAATCCCATTCCTGCAGAACCTCATCCAACCCTCAATACTTGCGCCAGAACTGCCTCTATCTCCCCAACAAACTGCCCTATCTCTAACAAAAATTGGTCAGACTGTGGAAAAGACTTACTCGCCTGCTTCACGGACTATGAGGCGATATTAGTACAGTGGTACTCCATTCCTCCTAAAGGTCATCGTAAGAACCCACTAACATTGCCAAAATTACTTTCCGTAGACGTGACCTTCCCTTTAATATTTACATTGGTGGAAAATCCATCCCTGTCGGACCATATCAACCTCCTCCCCGTCAGTGCCAAATTGTTGGCGTTTAGGACATCTTGCCAACAGCCAGATGCCCTCTATGTGCCCAACCTGGCCACACTTGATCAAACTGCACAATCACGCACATGTGCCAACTGTGGCGGCCCCCATAGTATGAGTCTGAGGTGGCAACTCAGATTCAGACTTGGACTGCCACGACAGGAAGCACGTCGACAAGGCTTTTCTCTTACTCCCTTACTCCAGTAATATTGGACGCAGCAGCAGACAGACTAAACGTTTTACCCTTTCTTCTCCTACCACACACTCACCTCCGCCTATCTTTGCCTCTACTCCTCAGACACCAGTCTCCTCCCCCCCCCTCATAAGAAACCTTTGTCTTACTCTCCAACCGAGAAACTCATGAATATATTCAAAACTATCCACTCGAGTCCCAAAGTGACACCGAAACCTCCGATCCACCCTCAGATTCCACGACTCCCGCTCCCTCCACACTCGAAGTGACTGCCGATATCCATCCTTCTACTCATATTCACCCTACACCCCTTCCTCCTACTCCCTCCCAACACAACCGATGCCCCCTATCTCCAGCTGGGGGGGATGGGTTGTCACAACTATGCCCTTCTCCAGATCCTCCAACTCCTGATACCCCTTCTGATACAACACCACTTCCCCCTTTCATTCCTTATCGCTCTCCCTAGCTCCTTCCCTTTCAAATTCTCCAACACGCACTGTAACGGTTATCATTCATAGATTAACTAACTATAGCTCTCCTTCGTTAAAATATTCGCGGTTTCCGTTCTCACAGACCTGACTTTCTTCATATCCTTTCCTCTTATAACCCATCCATTATCTGCCTTCAGGAGACTTTTATCTCACACTTTCTACTTCGACAACCTGTTCGCCTTCCTCAGATGCATACACATCCTTTACTTGATCTAACCCTTTACCTAAACCTTCCTTAACCCTTTCACTCTTCAACCCCTTTGCCCAGCTTTAACCTTTTCAATATTACTCTAGATTGTTGACGTAGAGCAAGTAACCATTAACTCAACCGCCCTTCACTACTCTTTACTATACGTTCCTATAGTGCTATATGACCTTAGATGTCCAGCACATTTATTTTGTTTTTAACCATTAACCATAATGACAATAAAGGTTATAGTATTGATAATAATGATGACTATAATTAAAATGATAATAACAATAACGATGACAGTAAGAATAATAATGATAACAGTAATATTAATAATGATGATGATGGTATTGATACTGATGATGATGAAGAGGATGAAAATGGAAATCACAGTGATAATGAAATAGATGATGCAAATTATAATACTAATAATGATACTATTACTAATAACAATAAATAAACAACAGCAGTGATATCATTACACTCTCATAATTAATCCTAATCCTAGCAACAACAAAGAAAAAACACGCTTTAATCATCTCAGTGGCACAGTGCCCCTCACCCTGGCACAGTAGAGTTCGAGGTGTCAGTGACAGAGCGGAGGATGACCACGGCACTCGGGGGGAGTTCTACGTTCGAGTGGTGGTGAAGGTCGACCTCCACCTCGCCCTCAGACGTGTTTATCACTAAGAGGTAGCTCTCGTAGCCTTCGAGATACCTGGGGGGGGGTCAGTTGGAGTAATTGCGCTTTGTGTTATTGGTCTAGTTTCAGTAAAAAGGAGAAAAAAAAATATATGTATGCTTATCATCAATGATACATTTAATTTTTTAATCATTTATTTGAAAAAAAATCTCAAAATTACTTAACCATAAAAAAACAACAACAACAAAAAGAACAACAACGCAAAACAAAACAAACGATATCAACCCGATCGAAATGCAACTCATTTTTTTTAAACATTACCTCATCACGGAGAAGATTTCAAAGGTGACCACAGGGTACGCCACATGCCCTCGGGTAAAGGGCTCCTCTTTACGTAACGCAGCGAGTTCTTTGTATATTTTCAAGTGGCTTTCCTCTGCCTGGAGTTGGGCCTTGACATTAACCTCCTTGTAGTTCTCGTTCACCGGCAGCCACGTGCTGTTGCCTCGGGTAAAACCTGGAAATTTGGAGAAAACGCGGTAGATTTTCTCTGTTCGGTTCTGTTCTCTTCTGCCTGTCTGTCTGTCTGCCTGTCTGCCTGTCTGTCTGTCTGCCTGTCTGTCTGCCTGTCTGTCTGCCTGTCTGTATGCCTGCCTGTCTGTCTGTCTGCCTGTCTGTTCTGTCTGAATGATTGTTTTTACTTCCCTGACCATTCGATTGTCTTTGTTTCTCTCCCTCCCTCTCCTCCATTCATTATACATTATTATGTGCCTCACAATACTAGCACAAAGCACCGAGAGAGAGAGAGAGAGAGAGAGAGAGAGAGAGAGAGAGAGAGAGAGAGAGAGAGAGAGAGAGAGAGAGAGAGGAGAGAGAGAGAGAGAGAGAGAGAGAGAGAGAGAGAGAGAGAGAGAGAGAGAGAGAGAGAGAGAGAGAGAGAGAGAGAGAGAGAAAGAGAGAAAGGCAGAGAGAGAGAAAGAGAGAAATAAGAGAAAAAAAGGCAGGGAGATAGACAGATAGACAGATAGACAGAGCGAGCGACAGAAGTAGAGAAGTAGAAAAAGAGAGAAAAAGAGAAAGAAAGGCAGAGGGATAGACAAATAGACAGGGCGAACGACAGAAGTAGAGAAGTAGAGAAAGAGAGAAAGAAAGAAAGAGAGAAAGGGAGAAAGAGAGAAAGAGAGAAAGAGACAATGAGAGAAAGAGAGAAAGAGAGAAAGAGAGAAAGAGAGAAAGAAAGAGACAATGAGAGAAAGAGAGAAAGAGAGAAAGAGAGAAAAAGAGAAAGAGAGAAAAAGAGAAAAAGAGAACGAGAGAAAGAGAGAAAGAGAGAAAGAAAGAGAGAAAGAGAGAAAGAGAGAAAGAAAGACACAGATACAGATAAAGACAGAAAAAAAAATACGGGCGACAGAAGTAGACAAAGCGAGAAAACCCATTAAGCAAGTACTCAAGAAAAACCTGCAAAGGAGCTGTTATCCCACTGCATAGGGGTCCTCTCCGGATCTCTGCTGAACTCCTGGTAGTGCTCAGGACCGTAGCGGCATCCTTGGGGGTCTTGAGTGTCTTCCCACGAGATAAATGTATTCACCATGCCTGGGGGGAGGAAAAGGGGTGATGTAGTGAGACTGGGAAAAAAAGATAGCAAGAAGAGAAGCAAGAAAGCTGTGATAAAGGGACGGAGAAAGGGATTTCACAGTAGGATGCAAATGGAGATGACATTGGGGTGGAAAAAAAGATTTCATGATGGGATGCGAGATGGATATGTTAGTTGGGTGGAAAAGGATGCTATAGTGAGTCTGAGGAGGATGTAATATTGGGATGCAAGTAGGATTTCAGAGTAGGATGAAGAAAGGGCTCTGGTAGTGGGAAGGAAAAGAGATGTTGTAGTCAGACTGAAAAGGATATCTCTGTAGGATGCAAATGAGTTTGGTAGTTCGATGAAGAAAATATCTGATAGAGGGGCAGAAAAAGATAATGATAGGGGAAGAGGATGCTAAATACAGATATAGAGGAATTTCATTTGACATTAAGCGTTCTAAATGCGATATGTTTTTTTCATATTTCATGGAGATATATATTTTGTGTTATTTAGAATAAAGAAAGGCATTTCATATGGGTTTCATATAGTATGCATCCCCCCCCCCCCCTCCCCTTGTCCCAGCGCTTCCTCACCTTCCCTCCCCTATTCCCTTCCCTTCTCTCCCTCCCCCATCCTCCCTTCTCTACCTGCTTCCCATCCCCCCATCCTCCCCTACCTCCTTCCCATCCTCCTCCTCCTTTCCCAGCGCTTCCTCACCTTCCCTCCCCTATTCCCTTCCCTTCTCTCCCTCCCCCATCCTCCCTTCTCTACCTGCTTCCCATCCCCCCATCCTCCCCTACCTCCTTCCCATCCTCCTCCTCCTTTCCCAGCGCTTCCTCACCTTCCCTCCCCTATTCCCTTCCCTTCTCTCCCTCTTTCCCTCCCCCATCCTCCCTTCTCTACCTGCTTCCCATCCCCCCATCCTCCCCTACCTCCTTCCCATCCTCCTCCTCCTTTCCCAGCGCTTCCTCACCTTCCCTCCCCTATTCCCTTCCCTTCTCTCCCTCTTTCCCTCCCCCATCCTCCCTTCTCTACCTGCTTCCCATCCCCCCATCCTCCCCTACCTCCTTCCCATCCTCCTCCTCCTTTCCCAGCGCTTCCTCACCTTCCCTCCCCTATTCCCTTCCCTTCTCTCCCTCCCCCATCCTCCCTTCTCTACCTGCTTCCCATCCCCCCATCCTCCCCTACCTCCTTCCCATCCTCCTCCTCCTTTCCCAGCGCTTCCTCACCTTCCCTCCCCTATTCCCTTCCCTTCTCTCCCTCCCCCATCCTCCCTTCTCTACCTGCTTCCCATCCCCCCATCCTCCCCTACCTCCTTCCCATCCTCCTCCTCCTTTCCCAGCGCTTCCTCACCTTCCCTCCCCTATTCCCTTCCCTTCTCTCCCTCCCCCATCCTCCCTTCTCTACCTGCTTCCCATCCCCCCATCCTCCCCTACCTCCTTCCCATCCTCCTCCTCCTTTCCCAGCGCTTCCTCACCTTCCCTCCCCTATTCCCTTCCCTTCTCTCCCTCTTTCCCTCCCCCATCCTCCCTTCTCTACCTGCTTCCCATCCCCCCATCCTCCCCTACCTCCTTCCCATCCTCCTCCTCCTTTCCCAGCGCTTCCTCACCTTCCCTCCCCTATTCCCTTCCCTTCTCTCCCTCTTTCCCTCCCCCATCCTCCCTTCTCTACCTGCTTCCCATCCCCCCATCCTCCCCTACCTCCTTCCCATCCTCCTCCTCCTTTCCCAGCGCTTCCTCACCTTCCCTCCCCTATTCCCTTCCCTTCTCTCCCTCCCCATCCTCCCTTCCCTACCTCCTCCTCTCCTGCATCTCCTCCATCCTCCACTCCTTTCTCCCCCACCCTCCCTCTTTCCCATCCTCCTTCCCCCCCTCCCTCCTCCCCTCCCTCGTTCCCATCCTCCCCACCCTTCCCCTCCTCCCCACCCTTCCCCTCCTCCCCTCCCATCCCCTCCTCCTCCCCCCTCCCCTTGTCCCAGCGCTTCCTCACCAATCTCCTCTCCGTTGTAAGTGACGGGCGTGCCGGGGAGCAGGAGCACCAGCATGTTGAGGGCGTCCACAGCGTCAGCGCCGAAGCGAGAGCCGACCCGCCCGTAGTCGTGGTTGCCGAGCTGTTGTGGGGAGGTGGGGGAAGGTGTGGGAGGGAGGAAGGGGTGTGGGAAGGAGGAAGGGGTGTGGGAGGGAGGTGGGAAGGAGGAAGGGGTGTGGGAGGGAGGTGGGAGGGAGGAAGGGGTGTGGGAGGGAGGTGGGAGGGAGGAAGGGTAGGGGGAAGGGGGTGGAGGAAGGAGTGGGTGTGGGAGAAGGAGTGGGAAGGAGGTGGGAGAAGGAGGGGTTGTGGGAAGGCGGAGGGAGGAAGAAGAAGAAGAAGAAGAAGAAGAGGAGGAGGAGGAGGAGGAGCAAGGGTGAGAGGGTGGGTGGTAGGAGGAGGGGATAGGGTGGGAAGGAGGTAGGAAGGAGGAAAGGGGAAAGGGCGTGGGTGGGAGGTTGGAAAAAAATAGTTAACTGAATTTTCCGAACTTCGTGGTGTATCAAAAATAAAAAAAAGCGAAGTGTGTTATCATTAACAATATTAAAAAAGAAGGAAAAAAAGATCACGAGACAAAATGAATAATCAACCTTTCAATATCATTAATAATATTCACGAAATGTAAACTTGTTCATTATATTAAACTCTAATACTTC